AATAGACGAAAAGTTATAGTAAAGTTTTTAGTTCACCGGCTGTTCATGCAATTGAATCCGAAAAGAGATCCATAACTGCAGCTACCTGGAGTCGGTCTAGTTCGTATGGTAGGAAAGTCCCGAACGGTAGAGTGTTCGTGAGTTAGTAGACGAATGGACTGGAACTTGGTACGCTTCAGCAGTGTGCGGCTAAATAAGTGTCCTAAAACAGTTCCAGGGCGTCGATTACCATCTACCGCTGAGCGTTCGATGATTTTAAAATGGCCACCGCCACCGAACGCGGACCACCAAGCCTTTCAACAATTACTTGCGGTTAACCGCAAGGTCTGGGTGGTTAATGGACTGCACACGACTCTGGTGGGGAGTCGGGGGGTTCGGGAGTTTGTTCGGCTCTTTTACAAACAACACGAAATTGCCAAACATACGAATATCATACAAAATGCTTTTTCCCTGAGTTTGTCCAAACAGGGGTTTCGTTACACAGCTCCCCCTTAGTCCCATGGAATGGCATACCTGCTTAGATCCTAACGGGTTGGCTAGGGGGATGTCCGGATGACAGTGTTATTTCTCCAGTTCAGTCTGTCGGGATAAGCCATCAGCGTTGGCGTTCTGCTTCCCGGGGCGATACTGCATTGTGAAATTATAGGGTTGTAGTGCCAAGCTCCATCTGAGTAGTCTGGGGTTATCTCCGGCCACTCTGTTAAGCCAAATCAGAAGGTAGTGGTCTGTCATTACTGTGAAGGAACGTCCATAGAGGTATGGTTGCAATTTCTTAAGGGCCCAATTTAATGCCAGACACTCTTTTTCAACGGTGGCATAGCTGACTTTGCGTGGTAATAGTTTCCTGCTCAGATATGTCACCGGGTGGCCCATGCCATCGTCCCCAACCTTGCTTAATACGGCTCCCAGCCCAAACATTGAGGCATCTGTGTGATCGAGAAATCTTTTAGTATGATCAGGAGATGCACTTAACCCAGCTTTGAGTTTCTGGAAAGCCTCCTCGCACTCAGGGAACCAGTCTAATGGTTCGGGAGTTTGTTCGGCTCTTTTACAAACAACACGAAATAGCCAAACATACGAATATCTTACAAAATGCTGTTTCCCTGAGTCTGTCCAAACAGGGTTTTCATTACATCAAGTATAGTAGAAGAACAACTAAAGGAGGTCAGAGCACTAAATAGACAAGAACTTTTAACTTTTAAAAAGAGGGATAACAATAGTAGATTATACTAGCTTTAGTGTAACTATAATTTTCATTTTATTAATAACAGGAGATGAATATTTGCTTAAGTCTCTCTTTACTAGAACTCCACAGCAGCACATTAACATACAGAGAAAAACACCAGAGACAAAAAATCAGGAATCCATAAAAGGCTTCTCCCAACCAACTAATTCCTCTTTCACGCGGCGACAAAAAGTACATGAACGATACACCACAAATACAATAACAAGAGAAACAACATAAGATAATGATGAATGCCATCCCAAATTGGAAACGTGGAACCAGTGGATGAAGCCTTGACGTTTATCCTGTAGAGTAGTGGAATCTAATTAGTGTAGCCAAACCATTAAACTGAAACGAGATAAATAGAGTTGAAAACACTGATTAGCGAATGAAATGTACTGAGAAAAACATGAATCCCCACTGTCAATACTGACAGTATAACATCCCAGATACTGAGAAAACATGAATCCCCATCATAACATACCGATGGTACCATATCCCAGATAAACCCCAACTCCCCCCAGATTAACAAACCTAGCCCAGGAGACCAGGAATAAACAAAAGTCAGTCAAACCAACCAACAAACCAGGGAAGGGAGAAACTGGGAGGGAAATATTTGCCTCCTGTCATTAATAAAATGAAGATTATAGTTACACTAAAGCTAGTATAATCTACAATTTTAGAATTATAGATCAGGGTGTTGCCGTGGATGTGATCTATTTGGATTTTGCCAAGGCATTTGATACAGTTCAAACTCAAGGAAATCGGTCTAGATGAAAATGCTTGTTCTTGGGTAGAACATTAGCTTAAAAACAGAGTACAAAGAGTTGTCATTAATGGTACATTTTTAAGCTGGACAGAGGTGGCAAGTGGTGTCCCTCAGAGGTCTGTTCTGGGACCCCTTCTATTTAACATGTTTATAAATGATCTTGAAGACCGCATTGAAAGTCATGTTTCAGTGTTTGCAGATGACACAAAACTTTGTAAAACAATACAATGTGAGCAAGATATTACTTTGCTGCAGAGGGATTTAGAAAGACTGGGGGACTGGGCACTCAAATGGTAGATGAAATTTAATGTTGAAAAATGCAAAGTTATGCACTTCGGCGTAAAGAATACACAAGCAACGTATACCCTTAATGGAAGCGAATTAGGGATAACAACACATGAAAAGGACTTGGGAATTGTTATTGACAACAAACTATGCAACAATGTGCAATGTCAATCAGCAGTGGCCAAGGCCAGTAAGGTATTGTCATGCATGAAAAAGGGCATTCATTCTCGGGACAAGAATATCATTTTGCCTCTTTATAAATCACTAGTAAGACCCCATATTGAATGTGCTGTGCAATTTTGGGCACCTGTTCTAAAGAAGGATATTATGGCACTAGAAAAAGTGCAGAGGCAGGCTACAAAATTAATAAAAGGAATGGAACATATCGGCAATGAAGAAAGGTTAACAAATTTAAACCTATTTAGTTTAGAAAAGCGTTGCCTGAGAGGGGATATGATAACATTATACAAATATATTCAGGGCCAATACAAACCATTGTGTGGAAATCTATTCACAAACCGGACTTTACATAGGACATGAGGTCATGCGTTTAGACTGGAAGAAAGAAGATTTCGTCTAAGGTAAAGGAAAGGTTTTTTTTACTGTAAGAACAATCAGGATGTGGAATTCTCTGCCTGAAGAAGTGGTTTTATCAGAGTCCATACAGATGTTCAAACAGCTACTAGATGCACACTTGCAAGAACAGAATATTCAAGGATATAATATTTTAATGTAGGGTAATAACTGCTTGATCCAAGGATAAATCTGACTGATTCTGGGGTCAAGAAGGAATTTTTTTCCTAACTTTTTGCAAAATTGTGCTTCAAACTGTTTTTTTTTGCCTTCTTTTGTATTAACAGCAAAAAACAAATGTGAGGAAGGCTGAACTTGATGGACGCAAGTCTCTTTTCAGATATGTAACTATGTAACTATGTAACTAACTATGTAACATGACAGGAGGCTTCATATTTGCTGTTTTAACGCTCGGAGAGCAAAGCCCAAAGAAACACGATCCGCCGTACCAACCTAACTTAGCGATGATAGTTCCCGTAACCGGCAGGAAAGTGTACAATGTCCTGGAATAAAACACCCACCATGACGGTGCCTGAAGTCGCCGAGTACCAACTAAAATTAACCGAAAGACCTATACACCCCGCCAATGCCAACAACCACCGAGTGGTACATGAAGGACGAAGAAAAGGAAAAGAACAGTCTAAACAAAGAGGGGGTCAATAGTCCTCATTTGAACATGAACTTCAGGGACCCAAACAAGGAAAACACAGATAGCTTCTGTCCCTTCGGTCTTGTATTATCGTCCAAATGAATGACGCCCCAGGTCCTTATCTTGCCAGGGAGAAACTTGAGCTCGCCTTACCAGGAATGGGCCCTGCGGTCCTGGAAGTTCCCTGAGGACTGTGTCTAATTCAAAGTAACTAATGGCTATACCTTCAAGCGTAGTCTTGTGCGGGCTCCAAAGGCCTCAGATCCTTTGATCCCAAGCACCTCCAGCGGTCCGAATTGACTAAGATAGGGTCCCCTGCAATCCCCAGGTTCGGGTTCCCGTCTGTTATGTCATCCGAAGGTGGAGGCAAGTGTGACATTCCGGGCCCAGGGTCCAATCCCTTGTAACAGGTAGGGGTTGGAGCTTCAGATATGTCTCCCTAACATTTTTTCATATGTGACAGATCCATCTGTATAACCTGGGATTGCTGGTTCGTCTGTTTTGCAGTTATCGTGGAATTACTCATTCGTATGCCTCTGTTCGTATAATGGACGGTTTTTGCCGAACAAACTACCGAACGGACGGCCACCCAGAAGAGAAGTGTGCTGCTAGTTAACCTCTTGATCCCAATTAGAACATTGTGGTTAACCGCAGACACTTCTCAATTAAAACCGAATACAGGGTGGTCGTCGTTCGTATGTCGACCACGAGGCGGCGGCCATTTTAAACCATGCGAAAGACCAGCGGTGTTTGGCATTGATTTCATGGAACTGAAAACGGACACTTTTTCTGCCGAACACCGCGGAAGCCGCCGACATCCCTTCTCAAGCGCCAGAAGTATACGAACACCGGCCGTTCGGGAGTTTTAAACGCACAAATGGACTTAACCCAGATAGCCTTCCCATGGAGTCAATCGCATACCGAAAGACTATAATAGACTTTGACTCCATGGCGATTGAACTATACGTATGGGATCTGAGCGCTATTCACCAATAATATGCACTCAGATCCAGGCTATTTGGGGATATGTGATACGAATGGCAAATGTTCGACAATTGTAAAGTTATATATTTTTATGTGTTTTTTGTGTAGAATTTAAAATGGCGATTTGCCTCTGTCCTGGAGATAATTGAATTACTTCTCAATTATCTCCAGGGCAGAGGGGAGGAAATCATAATGCATGCTGGGAATATTCTGTGTCCGTGGGTCCTAACCTGCCATATGTCTGTCTATTGTTACAGTCTCCCAATTGGTCCCCTAGGGGAGTGTCCACCAAGTGGGAGACCTGCATAAATACGGGCAGATAGCCCACAGTAAAGCAAGTTCATGTTTTACCCTCAATGCGGAGCTTGGTCTCGTTATTGGGGGGATTTATCACCGACGACTAGAGACTGCTGGATGAGATTATTAGCCACTTGGAAGATATATGCGTTCGGCTACTATTGGCGATTCATGAGTTTGGAGCTCGTGAAGTGAAGTGCCCATACGGGTCCCGTTCATGAGATTACAGCGTTCCCCTGCTTGCGGTTCGTATGATTGTACTTGATACGCATGAAGCTTGTGTTATTGCGAAAGGGGAGGATTCACTAAACGGCGTTTTTTTTTATGCTGAGGGTACCGTAACATCATATGAAAACTGTGACCCAATATTCTTCCCCGTATGTCCCATACGACAACCCACTAGTGTGGGGGAGAACCCTTGGCTTGTCAGTGCGGACTGAAAAGTAGAGTATAGGCACCGCAGCGGGCCGTACTCCGGATCTCCTGTATACTAGACAGGCGTTGCCTCCAGGAGAGCCGTAGCGCCCCATCGGGGTCTAAGTCTGGGTACGAGGCTACTTTGTTCGGGAGCCCGGCTGGGTATACCACTCCACGTATCTTGCGGGCTTTTCAAGTCAGCGATCTACGGTCCCAACAACGCACCGAAGAAAGGAGCAATTGGTCGAGGGTCGCACAGGGGTTCGTTTAAGGCGACCCACGAGACTACCTCTTCTTCCACAGTCATCGAAGCCCCTGTAGTGGGCTTGTTCTCTGTCCCGCGGTGCCACTTGGGGGCATCATCATAGTCCACTCCCCATCATCCTCTCCTACCAAGAGGGACCGGTCTGCCCTGCGTGGTGGGGGTGGGGTCATGAGGACTATCACCCCTGCGCCACCTAGGCAGTGTAGTCTGGCCGCCATGGCCAATCGTATCGGGGTTAGATGCTTCTCCGGAGTCTAACCTGTCCGGGCGCCTGGTTTAGGGCCTTTACCCCTCCAGTAGCGCTTGTGCGCACTTGCCTGCTCTCCTCTAGGAGAGTCTGACTCATTCAAGTCATCTGTCTTTATTAAAAAGGTGGTCACTGCCGCATCCGAAGGACACTGCCTCCCTCGCGCCACATAGGCAGTGCCGTCCAGCCTGATTACATTGGGGTTACACGCTTCTCTGGAGTCTATCTTCCGGGCGTCTAGTTTAGGGCCTTCACCCTTCCAGTAGCGCTTATGCGCGCTTGCCTGCCCTCCTCAGGGGGGTCTGACTCCTTCAAGTCTCCCTCCTTCTTTAGAAGGTGGTCGCTGCCGTAGTAGGAAGGGTTGACCGTGGAGCGGTCCTAGGCAAGGCGATCTCTAGGGGTATAACGGACAAGTTACACCGGCAGCAGCATCGGAGCAGCACCCCATCTAGTGACAGAGGCAAATCTGGCAGCGCATGCAATATCCAAGCGTGAGTATGTAGTCGCAAGGCTTGGCATGCAGATATTCTGGCACAGACAACGCAGGCCAGATCAATGGGGCACAGACAAAGCAGGCCAATCAATGGAGCACAGACAAAGCAGGCCAATCAATACGGCTCTGACAAAGCCGGCCAAATCCTGGGGCACAGACAAGTCAGGCTCTACAGGGGGGCACAGGAGATAAACTGCCCTTCCATTCCTCTGATTAATTGTACAATTCACTCTTCGGAGAAGATGTACATAACATTCTTCTGCGTAGCAGTACATAATGCTCTTCTGTGCAATTGTACATAGCATTCTACAGTGTAATTGTACACAGCATTCTTCTGTGTAACCGTACATAACATTCTTCTGTGTAACTCTACATAAAATTCTTCTGTGTAACTGTACATAAAATTATTCTGTGTAACTGTACCCAGCATTCTTCTGTGTAACTGTACATAGCATACTACTGTGTAACTGTACATAGTATTCTTCTGCGTAACTGCACATAGCATTCTTCTGTGTAACTGTACATAACATTCTTCTGTGTAACTGTACATAGCATACTACTGTGTAACTGTACATAGCATTCTTCTGCGTAACTGTACATCACATTTTTCTGTGCAACTGCACATAGCAGACTACTGTGTAACTGTACATAGCGTACTTCTATAGTTACATAGTTACATAGCTGAAAAGAGACTTGCGTCCATCAAGTTCAGCCTACCTCACATTTGTTTTTTGCTGTTGATCCAAAAGAAGGCAAAAAAAAACCAGTTTGAAGCACAATTTTGCAACAAACTAGGAAAAAAATTCCTTCTTGACCCCAGAATGGCAGTCAGATTTATCCTTGGATCAAGCAGTTATTACCCTACATTGAAAGATTATATCCTTGAATATTCTGTTCTTGCAAGTATGCATCTAGTAGCCGTTTGAACATCTGTATGGACTCTGATAAAACCACTTCCTCAGGCAGAGAATTCCACATCCTGATTGTTCTTACAGTAAAAAAACCTTTCCTTTGCCTTAGACGAAATCTTCTTTCTTCCAGTCTAAACTCATGGCCTCTTGTCCTATGTAAAGTCCGGTTTGTGAATAGATTTCCACACAATGGTTTGTATTGGCCACGAATATATTTGTATATTGTATATATACTTCTGTTTAACTGTACATAGCATTCTTCTTTGTAACTGTACATAGCATTCCTCTGTGTAGCTGTACATAGCATTCTTCTGTGTAGCTATACATAGCATTCTGCTGTGTAGCTGTACATAGCATTCTGCTGTGTAGCTGTACATAGCATCCGTCTGTGTAACTGAACATAGCATTCGTCTGTGTAACTGAACATAGCATTCGTCTGTGTAACTGAACATAGCATTCGTCTGTGTAACTGAACACAGCATTCGTCTGTGTAACTGAACACAGCATTCGTCTGTGTAACTGAACATAGCATTCGTCTGTGTAACTGTACACAACATTCTACTGTGTAGTTGTACATAGCATTCTACTGTGTAGATAACGCTCTTCAGGTGAATAGTGCCTAACACTCTCTGTGAACTGTAACCAAGTCTTCTGTAACAGAGAGGGAAAGAAACAGCTTTCCATAGGAAAACAGAGAAAGTGAGGTTGAAGAGATGAAGTGCCTTGCGGTGTGGGGAGGCCAAACGAGCCGTCGCTCCCACGTGGCCGGTCATCCCTCCCACGCCACCCGTGAAAGATAACTGATTCCCAGCGGTATGGGAAGTGTGGGAGGGAGACAGGCGGAGGGGTAGTTCCCACATGGGACCACCGGAGTCGTTCTCCGCAGTCCCGGCGGCTGGACAGGACGGGAGGCGGTACTGAACCATTCCCCGCCGGCCGCTAGGAAAACAGAAAGACAACAGGAAGAAAACAGAAGAAAGCCAGAAAGAACCGAAAGAAAACGAAAATAAAATGCCCACAAGGAGAGAAGGGAAAAATAGAGGGAGAAGGGTGGAGGAAGGCACCCATACAGACCCCACAGAAAAAGGGGGGAGGTAGAAAGAGCAGACCAGAAGAAAACACCCCGCAAAAGGCACAATAAATTACTTCACCTCATAAAATAAATCCCAAAATCAACACACACTATCAAATCATAAAAATCAAATAATACAATCAAATCATGGAATTTAAATCATACAATTAAATCATTAACCTCAAATCCTAAAAGCAAGTCATACAATCAAATCCTGAAATCAAATCATGAAAATTAAATCATACAATCAAATCAAATCTTAAAAACAAATCATAAGATCAAATACAAGTAAAAGTATATATCCCACAACCACCCATATAAAACAGGAGGCAGTGGTACTCTGACCTGTACTGTCTGCAGAGCAGCAAAGAAAGAGGAGTTAGTTGGTTGGGAGAAGCCTTTTATGGATTCCTGAGTTTTTTGTCTCTGGTGTTTTTCTCTATGTTAATGTGCTGCTGTGGAGTTCTAGTAAAGAGAGACTTAAGCAAATATGAAGCCTCCTGTCATGTTATAAAATTAGAGATGAGCGGACACCTGGATGTTCGTGTTCACCGGGTTCAGCCGAACATCGGCAAAAAGTTCGACTTCGGCCTCGAACTTGACCCGAACCCGAACCCCATTGAAGTCAATGGGAACCCGAACTTTTGGGCACTAATATGGCTCTAAAAAAGTCCTGGAAAGGGCTAGAGGGCTGTAAAATGAAGTAAAATGGGGGTAAGAGTAGGACAAGTGCACTGTAAACAAATGTGGATAGGGAAATCACTTAAAATACACAAAGATTAAAAATAATCTTGAACTAGGAGGAGGAGGTGGATATGAGGAGGCGGTGACCGTGGCGGTGTAGGTTGAAGCAGCGGTGAAGGAGGAGGTAGCCAACACTGGTTTGTTTGTTTTTTTTGTTTTTTTTTTTTGTTTTTTTTTATTGGGGTAGTCCCCAAAATATTGGGACATATAAAAAAAGAAACCTCTGTTCCGCAGAGCGACTGACCCGTGCGTGCTGCAGCTGAAACTTCACTATTGCCTGCTGCTGCTCGCACAGTCTCATGAGGCTGTGAGCGGGAAGGCCGAAGTTACGCTGCAGCACAGACAGGGGAGCAGCAGCAGCAGGGTGAGAATGCCAAAAGCGCGCACAGACAGCCTGCACTTTCTGCAACAGCTCTTGTGACAGATCTCTCTGTCTTGAACTTACAGAGACTTATCGTTCATTCGCTGGTTTAATTCATGTTTCCCGTTCATGTGGACTCTATACCATTCCCTTTTTTTTTTACTACCGAATAAAACTCCCGAACGGCCAGCAACCCAGTAGAGAAGTGTGCTGCTGGTTAACCTCTTGGCCCCATTCGAACATTGAGGTTAACTGCAGACAGCTCTTAATTGATACCTGTAGCTGGGTGGCCGCCATTCGTATCTCGAACACGAGGTCGCGGCCATTTTAAATCCGCGAAAGCTCAGCGGTGTTCAACGGTAAACCCATGGAACTCAAAACAGACACTTTTTGGCACGAACACTGCTGAAACTCCCGAAAATCCCTGTATTCGGTATTTTGTCCACGAATAAGCCATACCCCAGATAGCCATCCCGTGGAGTCTATTCATATGGAGAACAGACTTTGTGAACACTTTGACTCCACGGCGATTGGACTGTATGCATAGGATCTAAGCGCTATTCGGTACTTTTGTGCACTCAGACCCCAGCTATCTGGGGACACGTTGAATGCCTGTATTAAGTCCAGTTATTATAAATTTATATATTTTTATGCATTTTGCTATAGTAATTTAAAATGGCGTTTGGTCTCTGTCCAGGGAGATAATTGAATTACTTCACAATTATCTCTCGGGCAGAGCAGAGGGTCTTGGGTAAATAAAGGGGCATGGCTACACTGTGATTGGTTGTTGTAATGTCCTTGTCACAGTCTCCTATCTGGTCTCCTAGGGGAGTGTCCACCAGGTGGGAGAACTGCATAAATACCAGGCAGGTAGCCCTCAGTAAATCAGATTCCTGCTGACCCTTAATACGGAGCTTTGTCTCATCATTGGGGGGATTATTCGTA